CCCCCCATCCGCAGACTGGAAACTTGGCTGTGATTCCTGAAAGACCTACTCCCTGCCTTGCAGGCGTTTTCCCACCTGGGCTGGGAAGGAAAGGCCCTGACTGACTCCAGCTACAAAAACTGAGGCTGCTGAACATAATCTTGGGCTGGGGTGTTGCTTAGGGGTTTTTTAGTGAGGGTGGGTTTGTTGCTGTTGTCACTGTTATTTTTTTTTGTATCTTTATTTTGTATCTTATGATTTATGTGGAAATTGTTCAACTTGGTTGTGTGCTTTTTGATGTTTTGTTTATTGCTTATGCCTACGTTTGTTATGTTTGTACTTATGTAATTCTTAATATGTTGCATGCCACCTTGAGCATGGTTTTTATGTTGGAAAGGTGGCATACAAATGAAATGACTGATTGATTGATTGATTGAATCAGCATAGTCCATTTCACAGCATCATTCTGCTGCATGTATAGATCCTTTCAGAGGCTAAACAACCAATGATTTCTGGATATCAAGTCATTGTAAATTAACATTTTGTATTAAAGACATATGGTCATATCCAACTAAGTTGGTACTCAGAGTGGACCCATTGAAATTGCTATCAGTGGGTCTACTCTGCATAGGACTAACATTGGATACAACCCACAGGGGACATGCCAACCAAAGTTGTTGTTTAGTCATTTAGTCATGTCCGACTCTTCGTGACCCCATGGACCAGAGCACGCCAGACACTCCTGTCTTCCACTGCCTCCCGCAGTTTGATCAAACTCATGCTGGTAGCTTCAAGAACACTGTCCAAGCATCTCGTCCTCTGTCGTCCCCTTCTCCTTGTGCCCTCCATCTTTCCCAACATCAGGGTCTTTTCCAGAGAGTCTTCTCTTCTCATGAGGTGGCCAAAGTATTGGAGCCTCAGCTTCATGATCTGTCCTTCCAGTGGGCTGATTTTCTTCCAACCAAAATTAGTTATATGGAATTTCATCAGGTTTCAGTGGGGAAGTTAATCTTAGTAGCAGTGAGATGAGCCTGCCTAGAAGGGGACAGAGCAGGGCAGCAGCAAGGTCAGGATAGTTTTTGGTTGTTGATGCCATGGCTATAAACCTTGTGCTCCCCAGGTTCACCCCACCCCAGCTCAGCAAGTAGGAACATTGTTGCAAACAAGGAACCCCTGCCTCTCCAACACCATTCCTCATGTGCCACGACTAGTTACTGGAATAATAACGGAGTTTACAGCAGGTTCTTTCCTGAGCTGGCAAAATCAGTCCTCCAAAGTTCAGTCGCAGCCTTGCTAACCATCACGACACACCCCAAAAATATTTCTATCCTGTTTTCTGGACACTGGCACACATCTCGCCCCTCTTGGAACAAATAACCCCCCTCTGCACACACCAGTTTCTTCTTGTGTTTGAAGTTTCATCCAAGGTACAGGCCAGGAGCAAAATTGGGCCTGGGGAAATTTAGCAAAAAATGAGTCGGGGACACTTGGTCTTCCTTTACTCGGCTCTCCCCTGTCATAATGGACCTTCTTCCAGAAGACTCGTCATTCCAGAGGCTGGGGTTGTAAGCAGGGTTTCCACTGAGAGCAAATAAAAAAGAAGAAAAGAGGAGACACTAATTTGAACTACAAACAATTCTACAAAATATCCTGTCAGCTCATCCCTTAGCACCAGAAGGCTCCCATAATTGCTTCACATCAAGGAGTCCACAGAAGCTGTGCAACGCTAAACCACGATTCCCTGAAAGCAGCTTTCCAGATGTAGCAGCTAATCTGGGCTCTACTCATTACACACACACACACTCCGCCACACAACCACCACAGGCTTATCGCTGCAGCCAGTGGATATTGCTGAAAATGACATTTTGATGCAAATTTGGGCAAAACAGGACTGAAATTTTGCAACCACCTTAAAGGGCTTTGAAAGGATGGGTGGCATGCCTTGAGGTTGTACAGAGCAGTCGTGTACCCCTAATTTAGCACCACTTAGGGTAAGAAGTAGCCAACTTGGTGCCCTCCAAATGGGATTGCTGGGAGCTGGAGTCCAAAAACATCTGGAGGGCATTATGTTGGCTACCCTGACTTAGATCCTGACTGTGTGGTACAGTCATCACTTGGAAAGTAGTGTTAAATAGCCAGGCTCTGAGTGTTGAATTCTGATGCTCTTCCTGAAGCAGACAGAGAAAGCTGGAGGGAATCATAGTCTGCTTATCTTATCTCCCCTTTAGTAGCTAATATTACCACTGGGTTGGGAAGGGGAGGAGCAGGGATAATTAGCTGCTGAGATAGAAGGTGGGTCTTTTGTTGTTCCAATGAAATGGCAGACACGTTGACCCTTCTCTTTTCTCAAGGGGCCCTTGCTGACATCTGCTCCCTCTTTCTTCTAGGTGCAGCATTCCCAGCAGTGCCTGCCTGGGCTACCAAAGACCCACCATGTGGGGAACCCCTTTTTCCATTGTGTGCTTGTTTGGCATCGTCTTTGGCACCAGCAGAGGAGGGAAATTGCTTGCTCCTCAGGAAGGTAAGAGAACCATCATGGCCGACACAGACGGCCAGTTCCTTAATGGGATGTAGATGGATCACTAAGATTGTGTTGTGCGATACACGTCAGAGAAATCCACAGAAATGGATCCAGGCTCCTGGTGTTTGGAATGAATGTTGGGTTTCGGGTGTCTGCACCCTTTGCGGAGGCAGTTTGGCTTTGTACACGCTTTCCCTTTTCACATCTTACAGTAAGTGAAGTCAGGATTCTACTGGAAATAATGTGTAACTTTTAATGAACTAAAGCTGAGCCCTACCGTTAATTAAAGTGCCAGCAAAGCAAACTGAAAAACATCCAACTGAAAGAGTTGCAGCAGTTCTCAGCATTAATTAACTCAAGTTTCAGTGTTGAATATATGCAAATCCTTTTGGCACTAAAGAAAGGTTCCAAAACTATGACACCAATGAAAGATGGGATCCAAATCGTTTTGATGATTACTGTGGCTAATTCACGCAACACTGTGTGAGGTGGCAATGTCTTTTAGGGCTGCCTTTCCCCCTTAATTTTCTTAACATACTGTTATAGGTTGGGGGTGGTGTCAGTCTGGATGATGCCCATGAGTCCCTTCCAACCTGTGATCATGTGACTGTGAGGTTACAATCTACAAGAGGAAACCTGGTTAACTTCTGTTAAGGTTATGGTCTCAGCTGGCCTGTTAAGTGCTGCCATTTACTAGTCCAAAGAGGTTGCCATAGAGACAAATGGGAGTAACACCCCCTCACCTCACCTAGTTGGAAGAGACATCACCTTGTAAGGTGGCAGCAGTACAATGGCCAGAGATTTGTATGTGAGTTTTGGCTGATGCTGGAAGTGTCAAGACTGTCAAGACTGAGGCTTGTCTTGCTCGGTGCTGGTCCCAAGAGCTTGGGGCTTCCCTGTAACCCTAATGGGGAAGCAAGATCTGTTGGGGTGTTGCTGCTGAGATCCCCTCCAGCCTATGGTCAGGTTGTATATACGTGTAAATGAAACCATATATCCTAAAGACACTACAGTCTCCATTGACTTTTCATTCCAAGGAAATGGAACCCTGGGGCAAGCACAGGAACCCCTGAAATCTCTTGCTGCCTAGAGATTGAGGTGTGAGCAACAATACAATGGTTTGGTGACAAGGATGAAGGTGGCCTTGGGGCAAGAACTTGGTTATCCACCCCATTATCGCATATGGAATCAAGCCCCTGCTTCAAAGAGCTTACACTTTAAAATTCAGCACCAGGGAATCAACAGAAGAAAGAGAGGAAGGTGAGGCAGAGGAAGAATATGCAAAACATCAGGCTGCTCCCCCTGATAATGTTATAGATTGATAGGTGCTAGAATTCAATTAAGGTTTGGGGATGTCAAAGCTAATTTCCTTAGAGATGATAGCCAGATTCATGTGTATTTAAGGTAGAATAATTGAATCATAGAGTTGGAAGGGATCTCAAGGGTCATATAGTCCAATTTCTGGGTGTGTATTTAAGCTGTGTGATATTTTGTTAATCCTTTAATTAGCATGTGTGAAGGCTCATTAAGTCAGACCCAGTGTGCTGGATTGTGTGTCCGACATTCTTAATCCATTGAAATCAACATGGGTTCAAAGGCAATGGAGTCAGCCTTTGAGGTGAGAGTCTGGGGGTGTAAGCACTGCAAAAGCATCATAGAACTAGGTGTGGGAATACAGATGAGTGGGGCCTCTCTCTGTGTTACAGAATACCAGGGCTTAGGTTAGCAAGGTTAGAGCAGGTGGGATGTGACTGTTCTCAGGAAAAGGCAAGCTGCAGGGCAGCTTGGCTCCTCATGGGATGGGATGCTCAGAACCCCCTTCATTAGGCACAGGTTGTATATATGTTCAAATAAACCATATATCATAAAGACACTGCAGACTCTGCTGTGCCCCATTGTCCAAAAGGGGACACAGATCCTGGTAAGCACACCTAGTACCCCTGGAATCTTGCACCACTCAGAGATTGGGGTGGCATGTACCAATATGTAAAATAATAAACGAAGGGAAAATGCCCCTGAGCATGTGGAAAGGGCCTCTTTGTGACCACTGGCTAACTTCAGCTTCACAGTTGCTACTGCACTTGTGCACACTGCTGACCATCCTGCAAAACTGGTGCATGTGTCAGCCTCCAGCAAGAGGAATTTGTGTGTTTTCTACTGCTTGCAAGCCTGGTGCTGCCTGCCACAAACATCTGAGAGGCAATCTTGTCCCCAGGTGTGAAGGTCCTTGCAGTGACCTCCGGATCAATCCCAGGCCGAAAACACTGTGATTTCTGCACCACCTCCGCAAGCGTGCAGGACTCTGGAGGGCAAAATTCAGCTGTGAAAGGCAAGATAAACCTCGGCTCGTTGCTGAATTAATCTGCTGGCATCTCCGACTGACGGATAGAAGTGCTCCAAGGTGCATGTTCAGCAACAATTTGCTGTGACTGATAGCTGCCTTCATCGCTCCTGGCATTTTGCTGCAGGCGGCCTCTTGAGACTTTCGTGGGCTGTCCATGCAGCAATATGAAACGGACTCCATCACCCCGCCTGGGTTATCATAACTGGATGTGCATATCTGTCCGTTCAGTTCAGATCCCCAATTCGGTCTCCATTCCTGGGGAGCTGCTATATCTAGCCAGGGAAAGGCCAACTTTAGCATCGTGGAGCGATGGGTGGTGGCGGGGGAGGAAGGCACTCTGCTTCTGCTTGGGGGCCAAAAGTGCATGTTTGCCATAAAATTGGCTTCTTTGCAGTGGGAAAATGTAGAAACCCCAAATATAGGTAAATATTAAAGAAGGGAATGATAGCTTGATGGAGAAGGGACTCCAACTCGCTAGTGTCAGAGGATAATGCTTTGTATGCAGAAGGTAAAAGATAAAGGTAAAGGGACCCCTGACCATTAGGTCCAGTTGTGGATGACTCTGGGGTTGTGTGCTCATCTCACTCTATAGGCCAAGTGAGCCAGCGTTTGTCCGCAGACAGCTTGCGGGTCATGTGGCCAGCATGGTCATGTGGTGAACCAGAGCAGCAAACAGAAACACCGTTTACCTTCCCGCCGGAGCAGTACCTATTTATCTACTTGCACTTTGATGTGCTTTCGAACTGCTAGGTTGGCAGGAGCAGGGACCAAGCAACAGGAGCGCACCCCGCCGCAGGGATTCGAACCGCCGACCTTTTGATCGGCAAGTCCTAGGCTCTGTGGTTTAACCCACAGCGCCACACGATACTGTGTCCAAATGCCAGGATCTCTGGGGTTGTTTTTTTTTTTTTTTAAAGATTTGGTAGCAGGTGATGTAAAAGACCAATAATTGTAGGCAGTAATGGGCAAAAAGTACAAATAATCTAGCCAGGTATTGGGAGCTTCCTATGTTTCAAAAGTGTAGATTCTTTCTCTCTCTGACATACAAGGGAAACGGTGGCAAGATTTCTACCCCACTCTGGACCCCTCCAGACCAGAGATGCTTTTTGTGAGTTTATTCTGCAACAGGTCATTGATGGAACAAGCGTGCATTAAGTGCTGTGGAGGCTGCTCCACTATAATAGATCCAGTAAGAAATGCCCTGTATGGGAACATCTTATGCTCAACAAATGTGTTGAGGGGTGTGCGTGCATGTGTGCAAACTCGCATGTGGGGGTGCTGAACTGAGTCTTTGCCCTGGGTGAAAGAAAGCCTAGATTCACCCCTGGGTGGTGGAATGTCCTTCATGGGATGTTTTTAAACTCTACTATTCTATTATCCTATGACCTGAGTGCAACAGCAGCACTCTCTTGCGTTTTCCAGCAACTGGTCTTCAGGGATACAGTATTTTGTCTCCCAAACCAGAGGCCTCCTACATGCATAGCACTTGCTTTGCCACTGAGCTATATAGACTTTCCCCAGAGTTGGAAGAGGGAGTGGCTCAGAGGAATGCAAGAAAGAAAAGTATAGCAGGGAGAGAAAAAGGGAGAATTGGCAGGAGAGAGAGGTACAAATAGGCAGGAGCTGGAGGGCAACTTTTACATATGGATTGTTTAAAAAGAACAGAATCTTTGGTTGCAGGCCAGCCAAAACTCAACTGGGAGGTGTCTGTTGTGCAAACACTGATGGGCGTGGAATTAACACACGGTGCATTACCGAAAAACTATTGTTGGATTAAAGGATGGTTCAATTACTCCCTGACAGTCTTCTCCACAAAAACTGCCTGCAAGATATCTTGAGCTGAAGGACTGCTGAGAGAATTTGACAGATCAAACATGAGTCACCTTTTCCTTCACACCTCCCCCCTCCCTCCCTCATAATTTTTACATGTGTCTGGTACTCAGTGAGCAGATACCCCTACCTCCTTCCAGTCCACTGGTCATATTTACAGTGCTGGTAATACACACAGCACTTTGTACCATAAGTAAAACTGACAATCCTCAGTCCCCAAGGAGCCTACAGTCTAAAATTCCTACTAAGTTTACCCAGCGGGGGCTTCTGCAACTCCACCGCTAAGTGCATAACCCTCCAAGTGTCCATATTTTCCAAGGACAGTCCCAGAATTACAAAAGCCATTGAGGCTTCTGATTTGATCCCAGAATGTCCCAATTTCCCCCGCCAGCACTGAACTCAGGGAGGAGGTCATAAGCCAGCACTTGTCCTCAGTGGCAGTAGCAGCCATGGCTGCGAGGAGGCATCCCGTTGCCTCTGCCTGCCAGCCTCCTCCCTTGGGCAGGTTGTAGCAGCACTTGGAGGGTGGGAGAGGAGGTGGAGAGGCTGCAATTGCTGGAGAGGCCCAGCCCTGCAAGGCTACTCTGGGCAGGATGAAAGGGGGAATGGAGCCGAGTGCAAGTCTTGATTTTTTATTTTTAAAAAAGGTTTTAGGCATCTGTGTCTAATCTTGCCCATTTCTAAAATTTATTTACAGTCATACCTCATGTTGCATCTGCTTCAGGTTACGTCCACATTTCGCTGCTCACGCATGCACAGAAGCACTAAATCATGCTTCGTGCATGCGCAGAAGCGCTAAATTGCACCAACGTGGTGCTTCTGGATG